CCATTGACTTCTATAGGACATTGCATATGTGAAATATACATCTCTCTGACAACCTAGCAATTCTTTTAAATACACAACATTTCATTTGCTTGAGTAGATTTTCTAACTCTACTCTGGGGAAAAGAAGAGAGAGAGAGAGAGAGAGAGAGAGAGAGAGAGAGAGAGAGAGAGAGAGAGAGAGAGAGAGAGAGAGAGAGAGAGAGAGAGAGAGAGAGAGAGAGAGAGAGAGAGAGAGAGAGAGAGAGAGAGAGAGAGAGAGAGAGAGAGAGAGAGAGAGAGAGAGAGAGAGAGAGAGAGAGAGAGAGAGAGAGAGAGAGAGAGAGAGAGAGAGAGAGAGAGAGAGAGAGAGAGAGAGAGAGAGAGAGAGAGAGAGAGAGAGAGAGAGAGAGAGAGAGAGAGAGAAGGAAGGAAGGAAGGAAGGAAAGGAAGGGCCTAACTGGAGCCATAGACTTGTTCCAATACATTTCCCTCATATTTGCTGATTTAGTTCCACTCCATAATTTAATTTCTTACTAACAGTTGCAAACATAGTCTTTCCAGTCAAGAACCATACTCTTCCAAAGCCTTCTTCTCTCTCCTTTCTTAAGATTTTTGAAATGAGATGAAAAACCCTATCGATTCCTGAAACCAGGTAAAGATACCAGTCAGTTTCTGTTTGGAATGTAAAGATAGGGCTTCACTATGTATTATTCTTATGAAGTATGATTTTCTTGCAGAGAAGGATTTATGTCTGTTGTACAAGAAGACTGCAATATAATTTCTAGACTAAAATGGGAGCTTTTGAGAGTAAAAAAAGGATACTATGAATAATAATTACACTGGGACACCAGGTACACGAGGGTGATACAGGCCAATCGAGAGGCATGGCCATGCTGTGTAAAAGTCAAGGATGAAACCTGTGCTTCATTAAATAATCATCAGAAGACCTAAGCGCCTCATTGCTAGAGACAATGAAATTTTAGAGCTCAGTATAATTCAAGAGATTCCTGGTTCAATCCCCTTGTAAGGAGGTAGCAGGACAAAGTACAGGGAGGTTAATTAAGCAACTTGTCCAAGTTACACAACAAGGTAGTGATTGTGCTGAAAGTAGAAACCCGGTTTCCTGATTCACTCTGCTCTTTCCATCACACTGCACTCCCTTCAAGTAAAAGGCATTACAATGAATCCATATTCTCTACAGTAGGTATAGAGCTTGTAAACTATTCTTAAAGGAAAGCACCTAAAAGATCACAAAATGTGATACAAAGCCTGCACCAGAATAAATGTCACAATCTTGATCTTAAAAGAAATCGCAGGGTTCCACTCTCCTTCCTTTACAGCCTGGCAACCAACAGGACCGAATATTGCCCTTTGCATGTTGGTTCACATTTACTTATGTATGTAAAGCTACATATATACCCGTAAGACATTGCCAAATTATACAGAAGTGGAGGGATCATTTAACAGCCAGAAATATTGCATGAAATTCCTCCCCCTATCCCCAGGAAGCTCTTAGCATCCTGAAAATCTTTATACTATCAAATATTTGCAAATCATCACTTTCTGAGATTAGCATTATAGGAAATTTCTGGTTTTTTGAGATGAGCATGTCTTATGGAAACATTTATATGTTAAGTATTCTAAATAAAACAAATTTTATGAAGTTTATATAATCCATATACTAGTAAAAGGTATTAATATTGTTATATTCATATTTAAAAAGCCATTTAACCACAAGGGTTGGAAAAAGTACTCTTTAGTTCATCATAGGAACCATGCCTTTCTTAAGTAAACATCAGTCTGAAAATTGTTCATTAATCAGGGAAGAAAAACTTCTCTTTTTGAAGATTTTTACTTTTAAGTGGCAATGTAAACTAGATCTTATGAGATGACATTTTGATGAATACTATTTTATGTTCTCTGTGACTCTGTGAAAACCAAAAACACATTTCTCCTACTATTTGCCCTGCAGGATGGCCCAAAAAAACTCATCTCATCTATTTGAAATGAATCCAATTTAATTCTGCTTGACCAAAAATCTGTTTCCATAGTTCTCAAACATGCAATCACCCCAAGGTACAGTGCCACTGCAGCTAAAGTGGTTCAGTGTTATCACTGAGGGAAATACACTTTGATTGAGAAAACAGTCCGGGGTGGTGTTTGAAAATAAAATGACCCTTGCTGGCACACAATGCAGTGAGGCAGTTGATAAAAGCACATAGAGATGGTTTGTACTACAGACAGAGTTTAAAGGAAGATGCTTCATCTGACCTGCAAAAATGGGTCAAAGGTTACAGTCCTGCAATTAGCATTACAAATCACTTAAACTTCCAAGATTTTGACAGTTCTAAGAAAGATATATTGAAAATCTACATGTATTAGTTATCTTTATAATTGGAGGGTGATTTAAAAATCAATTGTGAGGTAAAGAAAATTCACAACAAATTATTCTGTTACTCAAAAAACTTCCTTTCTTTCCTTTGACTCCCCCCATATACAGGCATTAGCTGTAATCACATACAGATCATTATAAAGAAGACAATTTTAAAAACTATTAGTCCAACTTTAAGACACTGTTGCTATAATTGAATATCTGTAACATATTAATCCAAATTATGTAATTGCTATATTTCGTCTGTTAAAAAATCTAAAAATGTAACATCTCTATCTTTTAATGAAACTAGTAATCTTTTATTGAAGTCAATGCCTCCTCAAATGAACCAAGTAATTACTAATTGATTAGATCATTTACCTCTATGAAGCACTGCTGTCTTTAAACATGTTATAGCTTATAATAAAAGAGGCTCTTTTAATTGACAATTAATGAGCAGTTAACTGTTTTCCTTTTATATTAATATTATAAAATACATTAATTTTTATTTCTTCATTTGTAGGTGTTCAGCTTGCAAATAAAATAGCTACTTTACACATTTTCTTAAAACATAATTTCTTAATATATAGCAGTTACTAATTGATAAAATACACAAAAACAAAGCTGATAATTTTTCTCCTTATTTTGGAATACATCTGGTTTACCTAGGAACTTATGCAACTGTAATTTCATTAATGATTAAACAAAACTACTAAGAAAAATATCTGATTCTTTCTAACTTTATTAATGGGAATGTTTCAACTCTGATTATCCTAGAATGCCCTTTTATGAATTATTTTACTTGAATGAAATAGTCTATCAATTGTTCTGTGCTTTATTTCTTCTATATACGATTCACCTTAACTTGCTTATTGTTAAATAAACATTAAACCAACAACCACAGTAAATAATAACCAGTGAGATATTGGAAAATAATATCAAATGGAGCTGCTGAGCAAGAATAAATCTGAAGTCAGAAGTCTTTATCCAAGGTGCTAAGTGTTATTATCAACAATGTTATAAACCCAAACAAGATAGAAAAAATCAACAAAATACACCCTAAGCCACATGCTGACTAAAATGTATTATTCCATAAGGGCAGGTTTTTTGTTTGTTGTTGCTAACATATCCTCAGTGCCAAACCAGTGTATGGCACATGGAGCGTTATCAATAAATATATATTGATAAACATCATTTTAGACTGTCCATTTTACTTTGTGGCCAAATGCAGCGAGAGAGAGAGAGAGAGAGAGAGAGAGAGAGAGAGAGAGAGAGAGAGAGGAAAACGCTGCACATAGATACATATATCCATCACTACAGCACTACAGTTACAGAGAGAGAGAAGAGAGAGAGGAAAACGCTGCACATAGATACATATATCCATCACTACAGTTATGAATTTACAACTTTTGATCATCTCTCTTCTCCTAGGACATTTTCTCTTCCTCTATTCTTTCCCTCCACCTCTTCCTTCAAAATAAAAACCAGAATCTATTTTCTTCTTTCTCTCATAAAAATATGTTAATTAGTAGATAGGATGCTGATACAACAAAATTTGCTTTTATTCTCTAATTCTAACACTTGGTCTGTTTCAAACACATGGAATAATAACAATTTAAAAATAATTTTGATCATTCTCACGTCTTTAGAATATGGGTTTCTAGAGAAATAATGTATTTGGAAAAGCTTTCTATGGCACCTACTGAAGACACTCTTAAAAACAAAAGGAAACAATCTATTTTTGGACCAAGGAGAACACACAATCTGACAATTAACCACAGATTATTGACAAAGGTAATACATGTCAATCAGAATAGCATTTCAACAGCATTCTAATAGCTTTTCATAAAATGTAAGCTCTATGAGATAGGTAGTTTATTTGTGTTCTTGTTCTTCCATGATGTAATGCCAATACCTAAACCAATGCCTGATACATGTTAGGCAATCAAGAAGTATACCTGAATTGAATTACTAATATACTTCCCTGTTGTACAAATTCAATATTTAAAATATATCTTTCAAAAATTGTAGATGTAAAATTGAACAGTAAACTCAAGTGCAGTCTAGATGAAGGCAGTTAGCCACATATCATACAAAATATGCTAGTCTAAGCCAGTTTTTAAGTACCATATTTTGGGTCTTTTTCCTCAGATAACAGTGTGCATTTCTTAAAGACAGTAAGAGAGTATATCTATTGTTCACCATGACAGCCACATACCTACCAACTCAAAACTTTACGACTTCCAATACAGTAGACCTTTTGCAGGCAATTTCTCTAGGACTTTCAAATTTGCTTTCATTTTATTTTGATGAAATACCAAGCTTGAACAAATAAGGCCTTTCAAATTATTACATTAACTTGTTCATTTAACTTAAAAGTGAAAATCCTATGTAATTAGCAGATAACCCTCTCAGCTTGAGCTAGACTAAGGTTACTGAATCAAGACTATAGACAAGCAGTGAACCAACACAAAGCAATTTATAAAAGTCCAAATCCCAAATCAACTTTGTATACACATTTCATAGTTAAACTGAGCGCAAGACTCAAAGGAAACCATAACGCCTGAGATCAGAAACAATCACATTTTAGGAAAATGCCCACTTTCATAACCACAAGTCCAACAGGAAGGAATGAAATCCGCACACTTACCTGGCTGATGGGCTCTTTCGTAGGGGGCTTTCCTCTTCTGGCTGTGCTAGTGGCCAGGGTGGTGGTGGTCTCCATAATGGACGTGGACATCTCTGACTGCATGGCAGTGGCTGTCGACTCAGTTGTCATAGAGGAAGGCACTTCACCAACCAGTCTCACATTTCCCACTATGGCGATGTTGGCATCATTTTCAGCTGCCATATTCAGAACTTTCAAGCCATTGTAGTAAAGCCCAGAGAGCTGGCCCTGGAAGGGCTGGCCCTGCTCTTTCCCGCCAATTATTATGGTTGCTTGGCTATTGAAGATTGTGAGCTGACGCCCTGTAAAAATAATATTACATACATGCAAAAATGTTGATTGTGAACTCTACTTTCTACAAAGGATGATAAAAACAGATCTTTCATGGGGTGGATAATGAGAGCAATAAACTATAAGAGAGGCATTTGACTCATAATTCATTGCTGATAAATGAGGTGTCCATGAAATGCATAATCATTGGCAAATACTTGTAAAATTCTCAACTTATTGTAAATGTAGTGCTTTTGCTAAAAGACCAATCAAAGATAACGTATTGTAAATCAATTATTAGTGGATCCCTTTCCCTTTTACCTCAAGATCTTATACTGTTGGTCTCTTAAGTCTAAAGTGTGTAATTTAAAAATGTGATGTATCTAGCATTTCAAGTATTTGTCCTTCTAAAATTACCACTTGGTAGAAACTAATCTATAGCAGTTGATATCTAATTTTAAATTTCTGGTAAAAATTTCATAATTCACTTAATTGGCCACAGGTCTCTATATGCTATTCTTTAGAAATGTTTATTTTTTTAAGGCAATAGTCCATTGTTATTGAATTATTCTATTTTTTTCGGCAATCACACTGAAAAGAAATGCATGGTTTACACTGAGCATGTCAGAGACAAAAAAAATTCCAAAAATATTTTTCTGATTGGCTTTCAGCAAGTCTATTAAAACAAAATAGAATGAAAAAATAGCTTCAGATGTAAAAAGCGGCTTCAGGAATGATACACAAACCGATGGAGAAATTATGGCTCATTTCCATCAAACAGCAATCCTCAGCAACAGTACCAATATCATCAAATTGAGTATCCAGTTTTAGCAGAGTGTTCTCTGCTCATAAAAAGCATGCACACAACTTTAAGTTCAGTTTTAATTAGGGCTTGTTCCCAAATGCTCTTAGAAGGTTGCAAACGTTAAAGGGACTTCATTTTTGACCGGCAATCCATATTGCCCGCTATTTAAGATGCCTAGAGTTTAAACCAAGAGTTTTTGTTTTTTTGTCAGGACCATAATAAAGATATCAGAACTACATATATTTTAGTTAATAATTTAGAGGCTGGAACATGTAATATAATCTATGAATGATTTATCATTTTGGGTTAATGCTTGATGTGAGTACCTTCATAGATTGAGTTAGTGGATTATATTTAACAGTCCCTTTAACCTTAAATTAACAGGGTAAGATTATTAAACAGCTGGTACGTCTAAAAATGTATAGAAATTATTATACAAGGTATGCAAATATTGCTATCTGTATTTTACTGTTTTAAATTTGTTTTTAATTTAGTTTTACGGAAAATTTATTTTTTATGTTTATTAGTGTTACAATGAAGTACTACTTGGTTATGTTCAAATTATTTTTTTATTTGAAGTTTTAATCAATGTTTTTTACCTTTGTCGAGTAGCCATTCATCAACTACTCGACCAAGTCGATATGGAATTCGCTGTCTAGCAATCGCCAGGCGCTCGTTATCATTGTTTCCTTTAAAGTTTAAAGAGACATTTCATTGGTTAAAATCTGTAAGGTCAAAGGTTAAAAGTTAATACTTAAAGCTTGAGCTATACAGTTGCCACATGATTTTTTGAAATTTGGAATTTTAAAAAGTGCTACCTAGAACATTTCATGTTTCAGACTTGTCATTCATTCATTTATTTTATTTTAGCAAACAAAATTATTCCTATGTTAATTGAAAATTAGAAATCTGCATTTGAGCTAGGTTATTAAACTTATGTTATAGACAGACCCGAACAACCAATTTAAACAGCATATAATAGCTTTACAAAAAATGACCATTGATCTCAGGGTTTTGTCTTTTTGATGTTTCTTATTAACTAGTTAAACATGTTCAGGTGAAACAGGTTTAAGTTTTCAAAATACATTCAACCTCTTATTCCAGATTAGTAATTTATGAACACCAAACTTAATAACAACTTTGGCACACTGAAGCATCTGAAATAGGCCTACAATACTTTATGTCCTAGTCAGAAAATAGAAATTCGTATTCATCTCATTTAACGAAACCACAGAGACTGGATAGTTATTGTATATTCCATACAAATTAGTTTATCAATCGCTTGGACATCACAAGAGAATATATCTTGCATCATCCAAATATGTTATTATAGGAAAAGGCTTTGACAAAAGTGACTTTGAGTGCCCTTCAGTTTCATTTAAAGCTTAACATGTTGAAATGTATAGCAATTTGAAAAAAAATAATATGTATGTTTTATATCCTTAAATGTTTGCTTTTACATTAAGCTAATCTAAAGAAGGCATGATAGCTTAAGGAACAAATACTGGTATAAGCCTCAAACAGTGGTCCCTATGCATAGATCTAAACTAAGTGTGAGCCTTGCTTGTCTGAACAAAATTTTTTCCTGACAGAAACACAGTTTAAATTGACCTTGAATAATTCTTGCAAATAGGTAAGTGTTTTCTCGCTCTGTAAAGCACTTAGAAAGAATCTAAGCTGCCACCTCAGTGCTTAATCATGTATACGGAAAGTTTTTTTATTCCATAAAAATGAAATAACATGAAATTTTAAGCTAAGACATTTTGGCAATAACTCAGATAAGAACTAAGAGGTAAAAGAAACAAGTGGTAGTGATGCCCACAGAAAAGACTGGAGCAGTTTGCTAAGGAACAAAATAGATATAAATTTTACTCATATTTAGAATAATTTATAAGTGCTTTCATGTACTACTCTTATTAAACACTATACTTATCACAATAAACCCACCACTATTTTGGTCACAAATTTTAGAGGAATAGAAAAGTACTATCATTTAGATCCTATAAATTTGTCCTATGAATATATATATGTATGTATATATACATACATATATATATATTACTGAAGCTATTTCAGACATTAGTATTTAATTTAAAATGTAAATATCAAAGTAGAACAAAATATAAAATTTAATAAAAACATTTATATCCACTTCTCTGTATTATGTAATCATTAAAATGTTATAAAATAATATTTTATCTTATTGGAACATATTTTTGGTGTATTGATAATGAAAAAAAAACAATGATACAAATAACTTAAATTCCAAGGCTATCTTCATTTTTAAAAAGTATGCAAAAAAATTGCGTTCTTTTTTGTGTGTTTGCATGCACATATATTTGAAAAAGGTATATTAAAATTTAATATTGGTTATCTTAGGGAAATGTGATTATTGATGAATATGTGTTTTTTTACTTCTATGTGTTTGATGTAATAAACATGTCATGTGCATAATTTGATAAGCAAATATGAAATGTTCTTCAAAAACTCATATTCTTTGCTACATAGACTTTTCTGTTGCTCAACACTCATTTCAATTCACACTGTTAAAACTTGCCTGGTGACTTTATAATTACTTGGCTCCTCATGATATTTTTCATGCCAGAGTGTTCCCATCATCAGGAATGATCCATTACTCCCTCAGACACTACCCAAATCTAGAATGCCAATCGTCTCTTGCCCAATTATTATTTCAATATATTGACAAAGCTCTCTGCATCCTCTGGGCAATAAATTCCACCCAGGCTCCACATGCCAGCCAATATCTAACCCAGCAACAAGTCTAACCCTTTCCATTGCCTTCAGGATGAAATCTCAAGTCTCAAGGAGATTCAGCAGAATTTTCATGATCTGGAACCTTCCCGCCCTATCTCATGGCTGACAGTGCCTTGACTTCCTCTTCTATCCTCACAAGATTTCTCTCAATTCTAAAGCTCTCCTTAGTTCTCTGGGCTTTTATACTTGCAGCTTCTTTTATTTGAAATACCCTTCCTCACTTCTACCCTATCCTTATCTTGTCTTAGCTAAATCTGGTTCATTAATGAAATCTACTTGGCAGAAGCATTATTTCTGCAGGAGGTCTTCCCTGTTGGCCCCACGTTAGATTAGGACACCTGAATATATGCTTTCTTAGTGCCTTTCAGAAACAAGCATTGGCTTATAATTGAATATCCAATAAATATTTTCCCCCAAAACCCCAAAGTTCCATGAGGTCAGGTATTATGGGCAGTGTTTATTGTTGTGTTCTTAGTGCTTGCACAATACCTATCATATAACATCCTATGAAATATCTGTAGAATGAAGTAGTGAAGGAAATCTTGTTTTTAATTCTGATAGTTTCTTTAGCACCGCTATCTCATCCTCACAACCTAATAACATTCACTAAAAGAAAAAAAAAGGCAAATACTTGTGCCCAGATAATAGATGATATGTAGCTAAGCTTCCCTTTGTACTTTCTAAAGAGAACATCTCATATGTAAATTATAATTTTATTTCCTTAATGATTATCACTGATTTGAACATCATCCATATTATTGCTTGCTTAATAACAACTTCCTCAGGCCATAAAATAGGTAATTATAGTTATTATTAGTTAGTAATAGAAGAGGAGAGAAAGGTCTAAATAATACAGGTTAAGAAAATTGAAGGCTTAATATATTCTTTTTGAATGACTTTAAAAAAGAGGACATACATTATATATACATATGTACATATGTATATATGTATACATTATATATACATATGTACATATGTATATATGTATATATACACACATACAATTAGCTCTCATATCTTTGGCACTCACATAACAATATGAAGATATGGCATAATTTAAGTCAACAATAGCTTTTGAAGATACTTGATGAGACTCTGCTAAAACAAGAAAATGAAATATGTATTTCTAATAAATAATAAAGAGGTCATTTAACAACAGCAAAGATAAAATAGAGTAGGCATCAGAGACCGGGTAAAGGCATGATAATTTTAAGAAAGGTAGCCACACAAATAGGGTCATACCATCCCACAACCCATAAATGTGAAATGCCTTCTAGTTCAGAGATGTTTTTATTAGCTAAAAAATGTGATTTTAAAATCAAAGCACAGATTTTATTCTTCATTAGGTGACTCAATGGAAAATCAGATGCTACTAACTTCAATTTAGTATATGTTGATTTTTTCTCTGAAAATTCTTTGTTCTTATACTAGAACTAGAGGCTTGGTGCACAAAATTTGTGCACCAGAGGGTGGGGGGCGGGGGGTGTCCCTCAGTCTAGTCTGCACCCTCTCGCAATCCAGGACCCCTGGGTGGATGTCCAACTGCCGGGATCGAGCCTAAACCAGCAGTTGGGCATCCCTCTCACAATCTGGGACCGCTGGCTCCTAACCACTCACCTGCCTGCCTGATCACCCCTAACCACTCTGCCTGCCTGCCTCATCACTCCCTAACCACTTGCCTGCCTGCCTGATCACCCTTAACCACCTCTGCCTCAGCCCCCACTGCCGCAAGAACGTCCGGAATGACGTCTGGAAGGTCATTTGGCTATCCAGTCTAATTAGCATATTATGCTTTTATTATTATAGATTAAAAACTAATGACTTTCCGTATAACAAAATTATACATAAATACATCGTTAACCAAATGAAGACACATCTAAATAGAATACAATGACAATGTCTTTTTACAGATGATTCCAAAACCCCTCTCTCTATATATAAAACCCTAATATGCAAATAGACTGAATGGCAGAACAACCAAACAACTGGTCACTATGACATGCGCTGACCACTAGGGAGCGGGTGCGGAACATGGCAGGCATCAGCAACAAGTGGCAGAGCATGGAACATGGCAGGCATTGGCCAAGGCTGGATGGTTGGAGCAGGTGAGCGGGGGCACCAGACTAAGGCAGGGTTGGGTGCCTGTCCAGTCACTGTCATGGGGGTGAGCCTCTGGTGCTTACTGAAAATTCTTTGCTCCTGTGTGCCGCAGTCTTGCCAGGCACTCGCACCTGCTGCTGGTGCTGGCCCCGCTTGCACCCACTGCCAGTGCTAGAGTTGCCACTCGCAACCTCTGCTGGCGCCCGGCACCGGCCCCAATTGCTCAGCGCCATCAGTGGGTGCGAATGACAGCTGCCAGCCCCGATTGCCCCTCAGGGCTTCTCCACCTCCCCCTGCTCCTGAGGAGCAATTGGGACTGGCAGCTGCCTCTTGCACCCACTGCCAGTAACGGCCCTGCTCACACTCGTAGCTGGCGTAAGAGATGCCACTCGCACCCGCTGCTGGTGCCCAGCGCCGGTCCTGATTGCTTGGCACTGTCAGTGGGTGCAAGCGGTGGCTGCCAGCCCTGATCGCCCCAGAGGGCTTCTCCACCTCCCCCTGCTCCTGAGGAGTGATCTTGGGGCAGCAGCCGCTGCTTGCACCTGCTGACAGCACCAGCCCAACTCGCGGCACCGGCCGCACTCGCACCCACTGCTGGCGCTGGCCCCAATTGCTTCATGCTGTCAGCATGTGGGAGTGGCGGTGATGGGAGCGGAGCTGCCAGTAGACAGGGGACCAGGGGCCAGGGCAGGTGGTGCTGGGCGCGGGCGCAGAGGATGGGCTGAGACCCGCCCTTGTGCCGACTGCAGGCTTGTGGCCCACAATTTCTTTCAAGGTGTACAAATTTGTGCACTGGGCCCCTAGTTAGGTATAA